TCAAGCCCTTAAACAAAAAACAGCGCATGTTGGAAAAACTTGCAATGCCTGAGGATCCCTTGGGTCACCAGTGGATCAAAGGCGCTGAAGGCCCAACCAACTTAACGATGAAATGTGGAAAATGCGGCTTGTCCGTGCAACAGATTGCTGAACAGGCCAGTTTCAATCGCCTCATGTCCCATCATTGCATTGGTGGGGGTGAGATCTTGAAAGAATGGGGCATTCACGAATCACATACCATGGTCAACGTGGGTGTGCAATGGTCATGTTCTAAATGTGGCAGGCTGCAGCGGCCACACTCAGGTGTTGGAGCTAAGCAGCTGCAAAAACCTTGTGACGGCCGTGCAGCTGTCAGCCAACTGGGCAAGGTGGCACAAGGCTCGGGTAACACCACTTTGGGCCAAGCAGGTCCTGCTGTTCCCAAAACTAAAGCAGCAGTCCCTTTCGGCACCAAACGTGACGAGTCTACAGCACCAGAGGCGGGGCCCAAGCAGTCCCTCTTGGCTTTTGGGCAACCTTCCATGGTGGCGAAGCCCAAAAGCTCAGGCAAGTCCAAACCTACGCCAAAACAAGCCAAGTTGTCCTTTACGTAAGCACCGTGGTTGAGATGTGCTGCTTTTGCGCCTTGCTGGCTGCATTAGCGCTGCCTTCCACTTGAGCCTGCTCGACGCTTGGTTTGCAATAGAATTAGGTGTAAGTGTAACTCTTGTTACGTGGTCACGTGTATGTGGCCTTGGCTGCTGCAGCTGCTGCCTGTGCTGGCACTGTCCTTGCATGCGCTCCCCTGGTGAGCAGCAATCGGGTAACACCTGGTGGTTTGATGAATATGTGCACTTTTACCCAAAGCCACCCTGAATGCCTTCAGCTGCTACCTGTGCTGGGCATGGTTCTGGTTTTCTGGTTCGAAACTTGTCGAAAACTACGCTGGAAACTCACAAGTGATGGCGTGGGCACTTGGCGTGTTCATGCGATCACTTGTTGGCGCTGTGTACAGTCGGCGGTAGTTTGTTAGGTGTAGAAAGTGTACAAAGGCTGCTGCTGCTGGTTTTCGGCGAACTCTCTTACAGAAGTTGCCATGCTGGCAACACCAGGTCCTCAAGCTGCACAGCTCTGCTCGTATGCAGGGCTCCTTGACCTCAGGCACACCAGTCACTTGTCACACTGGTGCAGACGTCCTTGTAAAGATTGAAATTGCAAGGTGGCTTGCCGTGCATGCCCGTTGAATTTGTCGGCTCCCACCCACCTGCTTTGTGGTCCAGCTAGCTCTCGCGTGCAACAGCAAGACTCTATGGCCTGTGGGCAGTAGAGTTTTGCTTCCGTAGTTAGGCTGTCAGATCCTTAGCTCTGCTAGTTGCTTTCTTGTACTGTTAGGCCTAGGAGCCGCGTGGATTTTTGCGACGCTCGGAGAGAAAATCCCATCTCCGTAGCCATTTGGCTCAAGCTGTTGTGGTTCAAGTGGCAGCGCCGCACTGTTGCCGACGTGGCACCCAGACTGGAGTCCGTATCTAGACTGTGGGTCCCGACAGGTCTCAAACCGTAACCGCACGTTTGCTGTAGGCTGCCTGCGCAGCTCGGGACGCGTGGGCCGGGGGTAGCGTGCAGTTCCAGCTTCGGCTGACGTGCAGTAGCTTAGAGCCATAGAACCGACAACTGCTTGAAACAGCTTGCAACTCTTCTTGCACCTTGTGAACCAATCCTTGTCTTGTGCAGAATTTTCTTGGATTTTGGGCCTTGCAAAATTGCCCGTTTACTTGTTGCAAAAGTACAGTTGAGGAGTTTTCTTGCAGGCACTTCTTGAAAGGAGGCCATCGCAGAGCGCGCAGGCCCACAAAAGGAAGTGATGCCAGTCAAGATGTCCAGGCATTACACCGTCTGTGGCTGCGGATCGTGGGTGTGGACGGATCGGATTGGCCCTCACAGGCCATGTTGCCAGCAGTGTGGCAAACGCTGGCCACAGCAAGGGCCAAAGCAGGGAGCGAAGCAGGATCCGCAATGGGGTCCGTCTGTGAGAGTGTGGAGGTCTCCCGCTGCTGCTCAGGAGCCTGAGCCCAAGCCGCCAAGACCCCCTCGCCAGAACCAAGCGCAGAGGGCATTGACAACCATCTGGGAATCCTTGCCTGAGCACGCGCGCCAGCAGATTGAGGAGGCGGGGTGGAGACCTAAGCTCCCTCATCCCCCGCCAGGCTTACCCAGGCAAACCAAAGGAGGTGCAGGCAAAGGCAAGGGCGCAGTTGGAACAGCTGAAGTCCGGGATGAGGCTGCTCAGGCTGAGGCTGCTCGGTCCTTGTTTGCCTCGGTGAGCGAAGAGCAGCGTGAGCTTCTCTGTCGACTTGGCATCAAAGAGCCCGCAGCCCCAAGACCTTGCTTCATTGTGTAAGCAACACATCCGTTCCTTGCCAGCTGACATCCAGAAGTTGCTGGAAGACCCTCCTGAGCGACCACCCACGCCTCAGGAGGTCATGAGCGAAACAAGCAAGAAATTTAAAATTGCCACTGCCGAATTGCGGGACCTTATTTTCCGAAAAGCTGCCTTGCAAGTGCGGCTGGATAAGCATAAAGAGCTGTACTCCAACATGTTGTCAGACATGAAGTCCATCAATGAATCCTTGGAGGAGCGACAAAAGCTGGTGGCCTCCTTGCAAGGGGAATTGCAATCCTCGGTTGCTGGGGTCCCGGCCCCCGAGGCCTTGCCTGAGGCAGCAGAGGCTCTTGCCAAGCAGGTTGAGGCCATGGATGTTGATCAGCTTGACGACTACCGGCAGCGCCTTGTTGAAGCCATTGATGAAGCTGTAAAGCGCAGGCGCGTGGATGCACCGGCGCAGAAGGCAGCGCCGCCAAGCCCTTTTCCTGCTGGGCCGGAAGTGCACCAGCCAGCAGCAACTGAAGGAGACAAGCCACGGTCCCGCAGCAGGGGTCGAAGTACACAGCAGGGTTAGGGATCGGGGAGAGGGGTAGGGGGCGGCCTTTTGTTTCTTAAGAGTGCTTTGTTTTCAGGTAGAAGCCGTGCCAAACAAGTGCCTTTTCACGACCAGAGGGTTCCCTCCGCCCCGTTTTCCCGAACCTGCCCGGTGCCCACTCCAGTGAAGCGCGCGGATGAAACCGTTGCTCTGTGTGGTGAGCTCTTTTTTAACCAGTGTGAACCGACAACGGCCTTGATTCATCATGCAGCTAGCGTGCCCAGCCCTCAGAGTGCCAGGCCGTGTGCCACATCGGGCAAGCCCGTTCAGTTTGGCATGCTGACACAGGAGAGTAACCAGTCTTTTCCGCGAGATTTGGTGGCATTTTCGGCACCACAGGCGTATAACCTTTTCTTCGTCAGCCATTGTTTGAGCTGTGCTGCCCCGCTTGCCTTCTCACGAACTGTGAGTTCCAGTGCCGAGGGCAGCCGTGATGACTTGTGTAATCTGTGTGCCCAGGCCGAATCTGCATCAAGCTGTGCTGGTCGCGCTCACGTGGCGTCGGCTAGAAGCTGTGCTGCTCCTCATTTTGCCGCGCACTCATTCTCGGCAGAGCCTTCGTTGGCGCAAGGTTGGGTTGCTAGGTCTTCGGTTCGATATTCGGGCTTGAAAGAAGGGGCGATGCAGCTTGCATGTCAGGACTGGTGTTGTGCATGCTGCCATACGCCTCTGTCAGTGCCCCCCTTTGCCCCTAGGCCTCCCGAGTCAGCTTTGTGCCAGCACTGCATGCCGAGTCAGAGTGAGAGTTTTCATTGTCGCCGGGGCTTTTTTCTTGAATCTTGTGCGCTTTCAGGCCAACCTGTGCCCAGGATCCTTGATTACAGAGTGCCGGCCAGGGTCTTCCGCCACAGGCCGTCCACTTTGCCACTGTGCTGGAGTGCTTGTGCTTCCGCCCGGAGGCATGAAGGCACCCTTGAGTCCAGGCCCATTTCTATCCCGAACCCGTGTGCGCCTTCGGGAGTTTTCCTTAACCCCAATTTGCCCTTTGCGAGTGGAGATGCATCGGAGCTTGAAGAGCTTGTGCAAGGGTTGCCTCCTTGTTTGAGTTGTGGCCAGAATGCAGTGCTTGGTCAGCAGGATTTTCCTTGGATTAGGAGTTTTCTTTCAGCCTGCAGCCAGGTCATGTTACACCGTTCATGTGAGGACCTTGCCACGGCTGTCAGTGATGTACTCTGCTACTGCCCAGGGTGTTTGTGCCGCTGGGCGGACCGCTCCACCAGCACCGAGGGCCAGCCTCACATATCCGATTGCTTGTCAGGACCACGTTTCTTTCCTGCCAGTGCTGCTCAGGAGTGTGATGAACAGGGCGAGGTGTCTGGTTCGCAGGAGCTCGCAACTGTGTGGCCTACATGTATCAGAGCACTCTCGTATGGGCCTTCCACGAATCGGAAAGCCCCTGTATCCAGACGGGCCCGCCGGCGCCTCAACCGCCGATTGCGACACGTTCTAGAGGGTTCAGGGCCTTTTTCAGATCCGATTTCTCACGGTGGTGATGTGCTTGAACCTTGTGCAGTGGCTTCAGTCCATGCAGAAGTTGTTGAAGTTGACGGATACAGGTCGCAGGCTGGCCATGATTTTTCATTTCCGTTCCCTACCCCGTGTGGTTCCCAGTCTTGCGACCCTAGCCCCAATTTTGATTGCTGGGATGATACTCCTGGGCATTGCGGCATCTCTGGTGAATTGCACGGGCGTCCGGACCAGGACCAGCATCTTTTGGGTTGCGCGGCTGCCAATCTTGATGCCATGAGGGCCCCCAGGGCCCAGGAGGAGGGTGGTTGTGACTATAGTGGTGGTGGTTTCTTTCAGGAGGAGGTGTGCCCGCTGGGCGAGGGTCCTGGGGGTCGGACTTTTGGGATTGCTTCCCTTAATAGAGTTTCCCTCCAGGGTCCAGGAGGTGGGTATATCACACAGGCGGAGGATTGGCCCGCAGGAGGAGGTGTGGCCGCTGGCCGAGGACCCTGGAGGGAGCAATACATTCCGTTGTCTGAGAATTCCGGGTGTGGCCCGAACTTTCATGACGATCCGGTTCCAGCATGCCCTGAGGCTGGTGACCAAAGGCATGCGATGTCCCATCCAGGCGTTGCTGTGCGCCCTGCAGGTTGCACTCAGGCTGACCAGGTGCTTGTGCATTCAACTTGGTCGGGCAGTGCTCTCGCTCAGTCTGGTGATCCAGGGGTTTCGGCCCTTTGGGCCAGCTTGCTGCAAGGGTTGGAGCATATGTGTCATGTGCAAGTGCTTCAAGCTGTGGAGGCCCTAGAGGCGGGCCAATATATTCTTGAAGATACCTTTCCCTGGTTTGCTGCTGAGCTTGCTGTTGAAGCCGGTGATGATGTTCCTTGGCACGTTGCAGCCTCGGCTATCAGGGATGTCATCGCAAATCTTAACTCCAATGCCGAAGGAAAGAATTTGCTGTTAGTCAGCTCCAATGTCACCACGTGGCGCAAGTCCTTAGCAACCTTTCTTGCGGGGATCAGTCCAGACCTCTGGCTGGTGCAGGAAACACACATTAAGGAGGAGCAAGGGGATTTGCTGGCCACTCATGTTGGGGCCTTTGGCTATCAGGCCTTCAGCTTGCCAGGACACCCCACTGGGGGAGGTGGCAACTCAGGAGGCCTTGCGATTGTGTTTAAGAAGCACCTTGATGTCCGTAAAAGCCACCACTTTCTTCACCAAGGTGTTGGTTTTCAGTCTGTGGTTCTGCGCATCCGGGGTGTTGATATCTTCCTCGTCAATGTGTACTTGAAGACAGGGGAGGGTTTCCGGGGCCCGACTAATGCCATAATTCTTTCCAATTTGATTCCCTTCCTTAGGTCGCTGCAAGGTGAATTCCTTGTTGCAGGCGATTTCAATGAAGACATCAGTGTTCTGGTGACCACCAGTTTGGCGCAGGAAGCTCGGGGCCAATGGGTCCATACGGGGGCTTCCACGTGCAACGGGGGTGGTAACATTGATTTTGGTTTAGTTCCAAAGGGCTGGCCTTGGGAGTTTCGGTCCGGGCTGACTGGATCACTCCGTTTGCTCCACATGCTGCTTTGCACTGGTGCATTGACAGGAGGCAGTGTGAGTTGAGGTTTCCACAGCTTGTGGGTTTCAAGCCGATGCCCATTAGGCCGCAACCCTTTGAGCCTCCTTTTGCAGGTTGCTCTGGCCCTCCGCCTGATCTGGAGTCTGCCTGTGCCTGGCACTGGGGTGGCTCCATACCTGAGCCGGCCCTCACACATACCTTTGAGAAGCTCAGTAGCTCTGTTGAGTTATCGGTCTATGGCTGCACTCAAGGTCGAGGCTGCCTGCCCAAATTTCGCCGTGACAAACTCTTGCGCCATACCTCACCTGTTGGTGCTTGGGGGGGGGCTCAGGCCTCCTTCTGGAAGCGGGTCCTTGTTTGGCTGGAACTTTCGGCGAAGCGAAGTTGTCCTGCACCCTTTGGCCACAAATTTTGGTCGCAGCTTGAATCGATGTGGCACGGATCCACAGCCGAGCTCAGTGTTTTCCAAGTCCAGCTCGATGCTGTTCTTAAAGGTGTTGCGCCTTCGGCTTTTCCAGAGTTGATTCAGGTATCGGAGCAACAATTTCGTCACCATTCCAAATTGTGGATGCAGAAGCAGAGCGCAAGCTACGGTAAGTGGCTAAAGCAGGCTTCTTGTAAAGGCTTGCGTGGCCTTTTTACCTGTGTTAAAGCGGAGGAAGACAACTTTCAATCGTGATTGATTAGTCTTTATTCTTGCCCAAAAACCTTTTGAAAATTTTGGGTGCGAAAATTTTCTGTCTGCATGTCAATCGTTGTTTCGCCACACACTTTGTTCCCACGAAGCCTTCTTGGCTGAGGTGGGAGGTGGGAAACCCTAGCAACTTTCAAGGCCATATGGCTTGGTTTTGTTTTGTTGCTAGGGATGTGTGTGTTAAGAAACCAAGTCAGCCTGCGAATTGAGCCATGGCTGACTCTGGCAGATCAAAGTTCCCACGGCTGGACGAGCCTACGAGCGACTTGGGGCGCTTGTATGAGCGGGCATTGAGTGAGGCAAGTGTGCAGCTTGCGGGTCAGGCTACCTTGAAGTTACCCTGGGAGAAGGGCATTTATGCCGAGATTTTCAGTGGTAGCGAGCTACCTAGGATGCCTACCTTACCTGTGCCTGCTACACTTCCAGTCGTAGATGTTGCAAGACCTGGGACCCAGCACAGCGAAGCCTTGAAGCAGACATCAGATCCTCTGCCAAAATTCGAGAGTGCAGTCTACAAGCACTGTCTGCATAAATCAACTATTGCTGCTGGCGGGAGACCCGGGACAGATCGAGATGCCGTCTACAGGCGCTGGCTTTGTATCTTGGGCCACAATCTTGCTGGCTCTAAGATTGGAGAGTACATTGCTGATGGTGCCGAAGACCCTCTTGTTTTGATTGCGGACACCTTTGGAGGGAAAAGTACGAGCACCTTGCTTAAGAGAGCCAGGTTTGTCGCCCGGATGCTTACGTGGGCGTCTGAGCATAGTCAGACGTTTTTTCCGCTGCGGCTTGGACCATTGCTTTCATTCATGCGCAGTTTGGCATCAGAGAGTGCCAAGGCCCAGTGTGGAGAGACAATCAATTTCCTTGTGCATGTCCTTGGTGTGCATGCCGATCTGGATATTTTGAAGCATCCTGTAATCCAAGGGCTTCTACGGGGGTCTCGGTCAACAGGGAAAGAGATCAAGCAGTCCAGGGTACTCACTGTCCGGGAAGTTATGGCGCTCGAAGATATGCTCAGTGATGCATCCCTTGATCCTGTTGATCGATATGGTGCAGGAGTTTTTCTCTTCCAGATTTACAGCCGGGCACGAGTGTCCGACATCAGGAACATCCATCGCTTTGAGCTCGACCTGAGTGGAGATGACGGATACCTTGAGGCGAAAACGATGGACCACAAGAATGCGACCAGAGGACGTGGGCTGGGGCAGAGCTTGATTCTCGTTGCTCCGGTTCAGGGCCTGCGGGATAAGGCGTGGGGTATCCAGTTCATCGAGGTTGCAAAGATGGTTGGGTTCAACCTTCGACAGGGGCATCGTGGACCTTTATTACCTAGACTTACTGCCGAGGGTCAGTGGTCAGGGGAGGCGATCGGGTCTGATGAGACTACATCGTGGCTCAACGGTCTGTTGAATCGCGCTATGAGTGAGCAGATTGCGTCAGGGCTAACATCCCATGGATTAAAGGCAACAACCCTTTCCTGGATGACGAAGGCCGGGTATCCCGAAAAGTCTTGCCTCATTTTGGGACATCACGCGAGAGCGGGGAAGAAAACTCTTTACACATACGGCAGAGACGTGCAAGCCAAACCATTACGTGAACTACAAGATTGCATTCGTCTCATCAAGCGTAATATGTTTGCTCCGGACTCGACTCGAAGTGGCATGTTCAAATCAGGCGAGAGCAGTCATGAATCAAAGGCTGAGGTTACAGATCCTCTCATTCTCGCTGCTGAACAGTTCCGGTTTGGCGATCCTGATGAAATCATTGACACTGGAGGCGATGTCGGCAGTGAACACGAGCCCTTGCTCGAGGAAGGAAAGCCGGCTGACAATTGTGATGCTGAGCCTGAGCAGGATGCTGAGGATTCCGACTCGAGTACCTCTAGTTCTTCAGGTTCCTCTGATGACCATGCCGAAGCTTATGAGAGTTTCGCCAGTGATGCTGCCCTTGATTGTGCTGTGCCCCACTTAAACAAAGAGGTGGACTTGGATGTTTTCCAGAACCCCAAAACTCTTTCCCTCCATACCCGGGCGAAGGGTTCCGATGGCCCACTTATGTGTGGCCGCAAAGCTGAGGGAATGAAGATTTTTACAAGTAGGGTATACAGCAAGTTTTGGATGTGTAAGCAGTGTGAGCAGGCTCGACCGCTCAGGGACACGAAAGCTGTCGTTGCATACCTGAGCAAAGTTGCCAATCCCAAGAGTGCAGGACCTAGTGGTCTTCATTGAGGATGGCGAGGGCTATGGGCCAGCACAGCGCTTTGCGCGTGCACTCGCAGTTTTGGAGAACATGTGATGGGAAAATTGCGCGAGGGCTCCGGGCCTGCATCGCACAGTGTGCCTGCGCTCGCGAACTTGTGCAAATCGGATTTGCGAAGGTTGGGCGAGGGCTTCGGGCCTGCACAGCACATTGTGCTTGCGCTCGCAGTTTACTATCGTCTACTTTGTGATGGGCTGGGCGAGGGCTTCGGGCCTGCACTGCACTTTGTGCCTGCACTCGCGAACTTGTGCAAACCGATGTGGTGGCTAAGAGTCTGCTTACGTCGTGTGGTGGCTACGGGCCTGCACGTCGTCCTGAGGACGAGTGCAACCACATGACAGGAATCCTTGACTGGCGTGAGTACCGAATTGAGCCCAAAAGGTGTGTGGAACGTGGTGATGACACGTTGGTCACCCATGTGTGATTACGACTTGTGGGCAGCAGCGAGCTGAATGAATAGAGCCGTCTTATGCGCAAAAGACCAGCAGTAGTGTGTCGGCATGGCGGTTCCACTGACAGAGTCCAAGGCCGTGTTCTTGGAAAGATGTGAGACGGCCGGATTGCCAACGCCGATTCGGGACATCTTGGTTGGCAAGAATCTCAGTACCTTGGCAGGTCTTGCATTCGCAGCGGGGCAGCCGGGGGAAACACCGAGTGATGCAGCGCTTACCGGCCTGGCGAGATCCGGCACGGAGGAAGTTCCAATAGCGACCCTAGCCTCCTTGAGGCGGTTGGTGTTTGAAGCGCAGCTCCTCATGACCGCGCAAGTGAAGATGCTGATCGAGCATCGTGCCGATGACCAAAAGGCGGAATTAGCACCCGCAGAAAGATCGGAGCGAATCCAGAAGCAGAGCGAGCGCCTGGCCGGTGTTGCACTCCGCAACGAGTCAGAGTGCTCCTATGGGTCATATGATTTGGTCATGAAGATGGTCCAGGAGAACTGTGTCTCCTACTTGTCTCCAGCTAGGTTTCCGTCTCGGCAGGCCGAACTTCGTCTGGAGAAACCTCGAAAGGAGCTTGATGTGGTCAACTCAAAAATCACTTTGAAGGACCAGGCAGTCGATCTTCAATGCCAGCTTCACACGCCGCTGTGCCTGCATCATGCTCTTCATCGACGGGCACTTGCAATGGATCTCGTTGGGGTAGCCAGCTACAGTGTGAGCATGGAATTTCACGAGTACTTGATGTCACACCTTACCATGGAGCCACCGCCTGGCTATCATCAAGTCACACTGCATCAGGTTCTAGCAGCTGACCGAGCCGCTTGGTTGCGACTCGCGGAGAAACTTCCTAAAGGGCTTCGTGCTGGTCCCGATGGGAAACTCCCGCTGGATATCGAGCTCCCGAAATTGCAGGGCGACCCGAAAGTGGCTTTTCATCTCTTACCTCTGGGACCTTCTGCTTCATCATCCGGGAAGCGTTCGATGGATGGCGACCAGGGCCAGAACAACGATTCGAAGATCCAAAGGACTGGAGGCAAGGGTAAAGGGAAGGGCAAAACCAAAACTAAAGCCTTTCCTAAGTCTATGCCTGTGTCCCTCAAAGACAAGTGGTCGCGAACCAAACGCGGTGTTCCGATATGCTGGGCCTTCAACACGGAAGAGGGCTGTAGCTCAGCTCCAGCTGGAGGCAGATGCCCGAGGGGTGTCCACCTTTGCGCTGAACCTAACTGTCAAAAACCCCACTCGATCGTCAATCATGCAAAGGTTGCCAGTGGGTGAACTTTTCAGAACGCAGGTTGTGACTTGATTGAATCACTGGAGGTTTTCCTTAACCGGGCTAGGGCTCGGGTAACTGGTGTTTCGATCGAGGCACTCTTTGGAGTTGAAGTTTTTGCAGGGTCTGGTCGCTTGACTTGCGAGCTCCGCAGGCTGGGGCTTAATGATAGTATTGGTGTTGACAAGAATGTCGGCCGATGCTTGATCGCACCGGTGTTGCGTCTCGACCTTGGTGACGAGCAGGCGCGCGAGCTTGTCGTGCAAATGCTAGAAAATCCCAATTGTGCCTACGTTCATGTTTCTCCCCCAGCCTTGAACCAGAAACATCGCAGTTTGAAGCACCGTGATGGTGCCGATGCTTCATGCTATTCAGCCTCGTGTAGCTTGTTGTACGAGTTCTGCGGGAAGCTCTTTAGCATGTGCTGGTCCAAAGGCATTCTCTTTTCTTGCGAAAACCCTGGACAGTCAGAGCTGTGGCGAACGCCACAGTGGTGCAAGCATACGTTGTGTTTAAATTCCATTGATACTGTTTTTCACATGTGCATGTGGGGATCTCTCAGCCCTCGTTTCACACGCATTGTTCATTCTGTGCCTTCGCTAACGCAGCTGGGTGTTCGTTGTTGCGGTGTAAGTTCCAGCCACACGCATGAGTCCCGGAACGTGCTCCATGACTCCACATTCCCCCTAGATCTCAGTCGTGCGTGGGCAAATGCAATTGTGGAGCAACTTGTTGCTTTGGGCGCCCTGCCTCGTGCGCGCTCCTTGGATGAGTCTCGAGCTCCCCTACACCGTGAAGCCCAGGTGGCAGCAGCTTCACAGCCAACACGCAAGAAGGTACCTCCTCTTGTTAGTGAATTTCGCTGCGTGGCGACAATTGACACGCCCAAACCTTTTCTTGACACAGCTTCCAAGAAACTTGAGGGGCCAATTCCCATCCCTGCGGGTGCCAAGTGTGATACTACGTTGACCGTGCTACCGGCAGGTTCTCGCGTCATTCGCAGGCAGTTGCTGGGGGTGAGTTCGCCTGCTTTGAAGCTCGATGTAGGGTCGGAAACTAGCAATCCCACTAGCAGCCGTGTAGCTTCTGTCCCTGAAGTAAGCAAGCCCAGGCCTGATCGAGTGCAAGTGTGTTCTGAAGCCACTCATCCCGCAGAGGTTTTTGCTGCATCGTGCCTAAAGCTGGGGTATATCGACCCGGGAAAAATTTCCGAGTTCACTCAACTTCTTGAGTCGGAGCTTCCGGCCAGGGGGGATGGAGGTCAGCACGAATTTTCCTTCACGGTGGGATCCTTTGTTCATGGCGGTATTTATGGGCTTAGAACTTCTTCGGTTAACTTTCCGCTGACAACTCAGGTCCTTGCAAGGTTCATGCGCCAGCAGTGCCCAGACGCTGTTTTCACGAGCCTGGCTTTGATGAGGGATGTGCAAACAACATTACACATCGACACGAACAATTCATTACCCTACCTGAACACTGTGGCGAAGGTCACCAATTTCGAGGAAGGGGGTTTGTGGGTTCACAACGATCACGGCGACATGCCTTGCCCTGATGCAAATTTTGGGCAGCTGATGGGAACGAAGGTCGACTTCGAAAACGGAGTTATCAGGTTCGATTCGCATCTTAAGCATTGCACACTCCCGTGGGTCAAGGGGCCCCGTGTGGTTCTTATACGGTTTGTCGTGAAGGGTCCCGAGTTGATGCCATCGGACTTAGTGAGTAACCTTGTCGCTTGTGAGTTCAACATGCCGGATGAACCCCTTGTGCAGCCTCTCCCCAACGAGGAACACTCCTCACCGGCAGGGCCCGAGGAGTCCCATTGGCATAGGGTTGTAGTAGGCATCCCATGGTTACCCGAAGAGTTCATCGGTAAAGCCCTGGAGGCTACGCACCCGAGGCACTTGATGACAGGCATCCCATCCGAACTAAAGTCCACAATCGATCAGCTTGTAACCCTTAGCCCATTTGAGGTTGGAGCCGAGAGGACGGCCCAGCTTAGGAAGTGGGTTGCGAGGGTACAGGAGGTTGAGCCGATGGAAAAGTTGATCAAGCAGCGGATGAGCGAATCTTGTGCAAAAGTCCTTCGGAGTAAACGCTTAGTGATCTTCAAAGAGATGCTTGAAGCCAGTGGTCACAAGGATGATTCGATAGTCGGCGACATTGCCGAAGGTTTCAAGCTTAGCGGTCCCATACCGCCATCTGGGGTTTACAGGTCAAAAAGAACTTCGGCGACCCTCACCACGGCGACGCTGAGAAGATCAGCACAGGTGCTTCGGAAAGGAATCATACACTCAACTAAGGGATCAGGCGACTTCGAGCTTGATTGTGCAACATTCGAAGCTACTCGTGATGAGCTTCATCGAGGTTGGCTTTTCGGACCTGTGGCAGAGAAGGACCTCCCTTCTGAGGCAGTGGTTACCCGTAGATTCGGCATACGCCAAGGAGGAAAGTGCAGACCCATCGACAATTACTTGGAATCAGGTGTCAACGCGACAACTAGCGCTGCAGACACCATCACTGTCCACTCGGCCGATGTGCTCGCTGCCGCCTTGTCATACCGCATCCACAAGCTCCGCTCAAAGCGACTGTCAGCAAGCTTGTACTCCAGGTCGTGGGATCTTGCCAAAGCATACAAGAATCTTGCGCTCCACCCTGAATCAGTCCCTGATGCGTTCCTGGCCGTATGGAACCCACATACACATAAGACTGAGATCTATGGCCAACTGGTGTTGCCATTTGGTGCCAGATCCAGCGTACACTCTTTTTGCAGAACTTCGCTGGGGATTTGGAACATAGGGGTGGTGTTGTTCCTCCTGCACTGGGGGGTATACTTCGACGACTTCTTGGGATCCGAAACACCCCGCCTGTCCAAGCTGTTCGAACTCTGCGCAGACGGGTTGTTTCTGATATTGGGCTGGGCTACATCCTCTGACAAAGCTTCGGTTTTTGATTCCATTTCGATTGTACTTGGCCTGAAGATCAATCTCTCCGAATCTGGAATCGGCTTCGTTTACTTTGAGAATACCGAGAAGAGGCGAGATGAGCTGGTGTCCACCCTCGGCGATGTCCTTTCTGCGGGGTTCCTTAGCCGCAAGGATGGCGAGCGACTACGTGGCAGGCTACAGTTCGCAGAGCAGCAGATTTCTGGCAAAAAGGCTGGATTGGCCTTTAAGGAACTCTCGAGGCATGTGACGAAAGGGGGCGGCAAGTTGGTACCCGAAACCATGGCTGCCTTGACCACCCTTAAAAACCACATTGCTTGTGCTCCAGCTCGCTGCATTGCGGATCGATCGTGCTTTACCTGGCACCTCTATGTCGACGCTTCATACGATGATTCGCGGGCTGGTATTGGTGGCATCTTGATCTCAGAGTCGGGAGCCTACATTGGCCACTTCAGTGAATTCCTCGACGATGCAGCTTTAACATCCTTGAATACAACTGGGAGCGAGAATCCGATCTTCGAGTTGGAGTGTTTCGCTATCTGGTGTGGCATTTCCGCTTGGGCACGCTTGCTTCGCCACTGCCATCTTATTGTATTCACTGACAACGAGGGAGCTTTGCACTCGATGATCAATGGTCGCAGCGAGAATGATTCTGGTGGCCGTATCGTTTCTGCTACGCATAACCTACTTGACGAAGGTTGCATTGCTCCGTGGTTTGAACGTGTCAACACAGCTTCCAACATAGCTGATTTTCCTTCGCGGGGAGTCTCTAAAGAAGAGTGGGGAGCGAGAACTCCCATTGATTATGTGCGCCTCGCACGGGTGGCTGAAGCAGGGGGTGACGTGCCACCGTTCGAGGCTTTCAGCTCGGCGGTGTAATGTGTGTGTGGTGTGAGGTCCCACACGTGGGCTCAGTGGGGCACTGCCGCATTTGCGGCGTGCCAACTTAGTGAATTCATCACCCCTTGACTTCGAGTATCGTCGTAAAAGATTGCCCGAGTGCGAGTGTTTGCACCATATTCATATGCAAAGATATTTGATTGACTTCCCGGCGATTCAATATATACTTTTACGATTTCACATATTGATGTGAATATCTCCGTTTGCGATTTGATTGACATGCGCGGTTTTTGGGAACAAGAATAAGACAACTTTCAATCGTGATTGATTAGTCTTTATTCTTGCCCAAAAACCTTTTGAAAATTTTGGGTGCGAAAATTTTCTGTCTGCATGTCAATCGTTGTTTCGCCACACACTTTGTTCCCACGAAGCCTTCTTGGCTGAGGTGGGAGGTGGGAAACCCTAGCAACTTTCAAGGCCATATGGCTTGGTTTTGTTTTGCCCACCCGCCCTCCCTTGGGGGTGACGTGCCACCGTTCGAGGCTTTCAGCTCGGCGGTGTAATGTGTGTGTGGTGTGAGGTCCCACACGTGGGCTCAGTGGGGCACTGCCGCATTTTGCGGCGTGCCAACTTAGCGAATTCATCACCCCTTGACTTCGAGTATCGTCGTAAAAGATTGCCCGAGTGCGAGTGTTTGCACCATATTCATATGCAAAGATATTTGATTGACTTCCCGGCGATTCAATATATACTTTACGATTTCACATATTGATGTGAATATCTCCGTTTGCGATTTGATTGACATGCGCGGTTTTTGGGAACAAGAATAAGCTGTCCAGCTGCGCCCTTTCTTGCACCAGCCTGTGCAGGATCGCATCTACCTTAGGTGGAGGCAGTGGTTTGAGCTTTGGTCCGCGCCGGGTGGGGTCGACCCGGCGCTCCTCAGTGATCTCAGGCAACGTGCCCGAATGCAGGCCAAGGAGCTTGGGCCAATTCCCCTAGATCAGGCGGTTGCGGCGTTCAAGCGAGTGCCCAGCAAAGCACCAGGTATAGACGGGTGGACTTTTGAGGTGTTAAAAAACTTGCAGCGACCGGCTGTTGCATCCATCATTTCTTCACCACTGTGAAACTGAGGCCACTTGGCCTGCCCAGATGGTGTTTGCACTTATTGCCCTCCTCCCAAAAAGCGAGAAGCGGGAGAGACCAATTGCTCTATTGCACGTGCTTTACCGCACTTGGGTGCGCATGAGGTGGAAATTGGTCTCTGATTGGCAATTCCAGTACTGTAAAGCCGCGGTCTGGGATAAGGCAATGCCTGGAAGTCAAGTGCTGGACGTCGCTTTGGGACGCTTACTTAGAGGCGAGGCTGCTAGACAGTCCGGTCAGCACTTAGTTACAATTTTCATTGACATGGAGACTTTCTATGATAGATGCCGTTTTAACGATGTCATTTCTTCTGGCCTTTCTTTGGGGTACCCTCCCCTGGTATTGCACCAGGCCCTTCTTACGTACATGGGCCCGCGTTTTCTTCAATCTGAAGGGTCTTTGTGCCCGGCCATTATTCCCACGAAGGGGGTCCTGGCTGGGTGCCCGGCCGCCCCTTCTATCAGCAAACTTGTTGTGCACCCCATTGCAGTTGCGGCCACTTCCAAGCGTGCGACATCCAATTTGGACGTATGGATAGATGATCTGTCCCTTGACTGTGTCGGTGCCTCGGCCAAGCAGATTGCCTCAGACGCTGTGCTGCTGTTTCGAAGCCTGCGTACCAGCATCGAGGCAAATGGTGCCAAGTTGTCCTTGGATAAGACTTCATTTGTTGCATCGTCCTCTAAAGCGGCTAAATGCTTGCAGGCTGTTAGAGTTGACACAGACCCTGAAGTCCGCACCTTTGCCAGGGACTTAGGTGTCACATCGGGGGGTGCACGCCGCAGGGTTTTGGGTTTAGCTGAGATGAGGCGAGCTAAGGCCAGTGGCAGGGCGTCTAAACTGCGCAAGTTGGGCCTTGCCAACTTTTCACATAAGGTGCGCATTACCCGGGCCTCCATATGCTCTGCAGGTCTTTGGGGGCATCAGGCTGCAGGTGTCAGTCCAAAGCGGCGCAAGTGGTACAGGACTCTTTGTGCAAAGGCCATCGGCCGCCAAAAGTTAGGCTCGCTTGATGTCTCTTTCCTTTTGTTGCGTCACAAGTGTGAGGACCCGCACCTCACAATTTTGAAGCAGCATTTTCGAGCGGTTGCCAGGGTTTTCCGTCGTTGGCATATCTCGGACCCGGAGAAATTCAGATCGACTTGGGCCAACATCTGGGCTTGGCTTTCAGAGTCGCCCCAACCTTGGAAGCGCGTCAATGGGCCCTTGGCGGCCACTTTGGCATACTTGATGGATTTAGGTGTGCAAGCGCCCCAGTCCCACCGTTGGACGTGCGGCGAGTGTCTCCTTATCATTGATTGGGCCAGTCTTGACGCCACCCGACGGGTGTGGCATTGGCTTTTGCCTAAGTGGGAGGCCGCTAGGTTGCTTCGTGTGTCTCAGCTGGAAGCCTGTGAATCCTTAGACTCTGGAGTCGACTTGAAGGTCCCTCACCGCTTGCTTAAGCGCAAATTCTTCAATAAGAGTATGGCGACTAGTTTGCAAGCCCTTTGGCAAGGAGCACTTTTAGGTCAGAATAAGCCCGGGTACTGCAAACTGTGTGCCTGTCCTCTCAGCTTACAGCATGTTCTGTGGGACTGCCCTTTTCTTGTTTCCAAGTATCCTGAACCACCGCATTTCCCGGCCTCCCGCCGCAGTTTCCCTTGGCCATGTCTTTGGTTGCGCGGTTTGTTGCCACAGCGTGCCACGTCACTGGGAGGTACGGATAAGCAGAGGGGTTTGGTTTGCGAGGGTTTGTGGAGCAGCCGACGGGTCCTTAATAGTGATAATCTTGTTTTTGCTTCAGATGCGTCGGGTGGACCAGGTGCCCGTGACCACCGCGCGGCATGTGTTGCTTGGGCCATTGCGGCGTATGAGCTTTCACCGGACGGGCCGAAGCGTGTTGCTAGCATCACGTGTTTTCCTGAAGAGCCCCTGTCGGTGGCCAGTGCGGAGCAACAGGCTGCCTTTGAGCTCTTTGGTCGTGTCTCCGGTGCTTTCGACTTGACGGTGGACTGTCAGGCCATCACACACATTCTACGGAAAAGCATGCCGCCCCTTGAAGGCCCGGTCCCTTGGGGTGAAATTTGGGGTGACAGGTCAAGGGCTAATATCACTTGGGTGCCCAGTCATAAAGACTCTTCCTATTATGCCGATAAAGGCATCCCTGAATGGCGGCGTTTGCTGAACGAGGATGTTGATTCTTTATGTGGCAAAAGGGCTGCGCAAGTGTTCCAATCAGCGACTAAGCCGAATCTTCCTGTTCTGGATGGGCTCTGTGAAGAAATTTGCCTGCACCTGGCTAAGAAAATTGGCTTTGTCCTCAAGCACAAAAAAGATAAGGGTTTCCCTTGGGTTTTTGATAGGTGCCTCAACTCCCAGCCTTCGCCCCAGGATGCTAAGCCCTCGATCGTTTCCCAGGGCAAGTTTGATAAGCCCAAAGGCGGGTCCAAGCCCAGCAGTCAGCCCAAACCCAACAAAAAACAACGCCTTAAGGAGGCTCTCGCCAACCCGGACCCTGGGCTGGGTCATGTTTGGAAGGATTGTGAGGCCAAAGCCAGCAACAATTTTGCGATCCAGTGCACCGTTTGCCAGCTTTATGTGGAGCAGTGTAACCCTCCCGAGGTTTTTGATCGCAAAATGTCCAATCCTTGTCGCGACAGAGCTGCCCCGGTTCCCGCCTGCTGGGGCATACATGGCAGTCATGACATGGTTAATAAGGGTTCTTTCTTTATGTGCTCCAAGTGTCTTGCCATGGTTAAACTTGGTGCCACCTCGTCGTCGTCGGTCTTGAAGTCCACTTGCAAAGGGCTCGGGCGTAAACTTAACGCCCAAACGAGAGTGCGTTCCATGGCCCAGGTTGAAGCTGATACGAGCCGGTCCATTGAGGAATCCTTTGAGGCCAAAGAGTCAATCCCTGCGGAGGTTGTGCAGCAAGGCGGTGGCAGTTCTGTTTCCCCTTGCTCTGCCCAACCTAAGCCCAAACCTAAGTGCAAGCCCAAAGCCAAGTCTAAGGACACATCCAAACAGACCCGTTTGTCGTTTCGGTGAGCTTCTTTCTCGGGCTGTTTCGAGGGTTGGGCTAGGGTTTCCAAAAAAAAAAAAGCAACCTCAAACATGTCTTGGTGGAAGCTGGAGTGCGCTTGCTGGATGCACCCGTGTCGTTGGCGGTCCACGGTGGTCATGCGGCTGTTGGCTGCAACACCGCTCGCCGTGGCTTTCATCTGATGTAGGCTACCTTTCCGCATGTTAAATTGCTGCCCTACAGGTCACATGCTCGGTGTGCGCTGTTGGCTGCACCCGCCTGTAATGCCTTAGGGTTAAGGGTTTTAGGCTAGTCCCGCCGGTTGTTGGGTTGTGATTGCATGCTTCCTTGCCTGGTTGATGAATATGCATTACCCGACTTCGGGCCTTAGCAACAGAACAACTGTGATGTTTTGTAATGGCCGTTGGATAACGTCAGGCCACATCATGGTGGCGAAGCCCAAAAAGCTCAGGCAAATCCAAACCTACGCCAAAACAAGCCAAGTTGTCCTTTACGTGAGCATCGTGGTTGAGATGTGCCGCTTTTGCGCCTTGCTGGCTGCATTTAGCGCTGCCTTCCACTTGAGCCTGCTAGGCGCTTGGTTTGCAATAAAATTAGGTGTAAGTGTAACTCTTGTTACGTGGTCACGTGTATGTGGCCTTGGCCACTGCAGCTGCTGCCTGTGCTGGCACTGTCCTTGCATGCGCTCCCATGGTGAGCAGCAGTCGGGTATCACCCGGTGGTTTGATGAATATGTGCACTTCTTCCTAAGGCCACCCTCACTGCCTTCAGCTGCTACCTGTGCTGGGCACGGTTCTGGTTTTCTGGTTCGAAACTTGTCAAAAACTACGCTGGAAACTCACAGGTGATGGCGTGGGCACTTGGCGTGTTCATGCGATCACTTGTTGGCGCTGTGTACAGTCGGCGGTAGTTTGTTAGGTGTAGAAAGTGTACAAAGGCTGCTGCTGCTGGTTTTCGGCGAACTCTCTTGCAGAAGTTGCCATTCTGGCAACACCAGGGCCTCAAGCTGCACAGCTCTGCTCGTATGCAGGGCTCCTTGACCTCTTGCACACCAGTCACGTGTCACACTGGTGCTGACGTCCTTGTAAGGATTGAAATTGCGAGGTGGCTTGCCGTGCATGCCCGTTGAATTTGTCGGCTCCCACCCGCCTGCTTCGTGGTCCAGCTAGCTCACGCGTGCAACAGCAAGACTCTAACAGGCTTGTTTGCCTGTTTTGGTGGCCTTGTTAAGCCTGCCAGGCTTGCTGTGCTCCCTGGCTGCCCATGCTGGTCACCTCTGAGCTTTGGTGCATGGTCCAGCGCTGCTCTTACGCTCTTGTGTGCCACAGTCCCACCTTCTTTCCTTCGGGAGAGCTGGTGGGACTCCCGTAGTGGTGCAGTCCCCGCTTGCGGTGCGGATGTGCGTAGTGTAGAGTGTTGTGCTGTTTGATCTGTACAGTTTCTAGGTTCGTTAACGAAAGGCGGCCATCGGCCGCGGCATCTGCTGTCCGCACGGGAAGAAAATCCCATCTGGCTCAAGTTTTTCGGCTCAGACGTTGCAGTGCCGTCGTGGCCTTTTAGCCTTGGGACCCACTTTGTCTAGAGGCTTCCAAGAGTCCCCAAACCCAACCTGATAAAGGTCGTAGGCCTGACAGCAGGCAAGGGTTTGGTGGGCGGCCCGGTAGGCTGTTCACTGCACGATCTGAGTGAGGTCGATCCTCCTCTTGCCGAGTGCACTTCTAGAGCTTGGAAGTGGACACCACTCCTTGCTTGTTTCCTGCAGCCACTACTTCTGGTAGTGGTTTCCACACCAGCTTGCAGCCATGCCGCGCACTCCCAAGTGGATCCCGTGCGCCTGTGGGTACCACTGGGCCTGGAAACGCCAGGTCGAGTCGGGGGAAAACACTCACTGTGCGTACTGCGGCAGGAACTGGCAGAAGCAGCTGAACAAGCAGCAAGCAAGCAAAGACGCCCGTGCCGAGCAATCCCAGAGCCCCCGAGCTGTCTGGGAGGACGGTCGCACCAAAGGCAAGGGTAAAGGAGAAGGCAAGGGTTCCAAGAACCCTCCAGGTGGCAAAGTCGGCGCGGTACTCGCGGGTCTTTGGAAAGACCTTCCTGAGGCTGCACAGAAAGCCTTCCAGGAGGTCGGGTACAGCCCACCTCGGCCGAAAGGGCCACCGCCTCCCCCGCCAGGACTGGACCTTCAGTCCCTTCTTAAGGGCAGGATGACCGAGAAGGAGTACAACGCTGCCAGGGCCGTGGTTTACGCCGGTGCAGGGCTCCACGTCCAGACCCTTTTCTTTTGGAGGCCGCGGGAATCCCCCCTCCGCCGGATGAGGACCTCGACCAGCCAGAACCCACGCCCCAGGAGAAGCTGACAAGGTGTGTCAGCGACTTCAAGAAGGCCACCAACCAGATGAAGAATCTGGTAGAGAAGAAGGCCAAGCTCCAGGCTCGAGCGGACAAGCTCAAGCAGGAACTGGAAAAGCTTATTGGGGACGTGGACCAGGTTGACAAGGACATCAAGGCCAAGGACGTTGAGATCCAGGAGACGGCCAAGGCTTCGGCGGACTCCACCAGCACCGCTTTCAGCGCCCTGGAGGCGGTCCTCTCGGAGGCTGGCCACGAGCTCAACGAGGCCACCCGGCCAAGATGAAGGCTGCCCTGGTCGGGAAGGAGGACCTCCCTCCGGACCCCTTCATTGTGAATTTCAGAGGGCATGATGAGTACTTCCCTCGGGAGATGCCCCCCATGTACGGCCCTGCCCGCACCGACCCGCATGGGAAGCGTCCCACACCTTTGGAAGGGACGAAGCCAGAGGGAGCCGCAGGCAGCGACAACCCCGAATAGGGGCGCCTTGGCCAGGGGAACCCTGCCTTCCCTCTGGCCCTTTCTGGGCCACGGGCCCCCAGGCAGGTTTTGCAAGGGCAGCCGCCCAATCAGGCCCTTCTCCGCTCGTCATTGGAGGTTTTGCAGGCTTTTTCCAACAATCAACTTGCTCTCTTACCGAGGGGGAGTGGTCTGCCACCCCACCTTGGCCAGGTGTCACACAAGAGTAGAGTTTTTTGCAAGTTTTGCAAGTCTGATCTGCACGATCTAGGCAGCACTCACTTGTTCTGCGCGCAGTGCAAAATCTTTCATAAAACCCCGGCGGCGCTGCGTTGGGAGTCAGCGCCTGCCCGAGGCTTCATGGCGCCCGTTCAGCCTCTTCCCTCGAGGCCTGTGAACGGCCTTTTGATTAGGGGTCGTGGGTCAACCACCCCCTTTTCTTCAACCCTGGCGCCGCAGGGTGTCCCCACGCCAACGTGTTTGGACAACCAGAGCGCCCAGAACTTCCCCAGGCTCTCTGGGCCAAAATTTTTTCCAACTGGTTGGGCCCTGGACCCTGAGCAGGAGCCTCCCGCCCCAAGTGGTACCTTGGAGGTGCTGCCAAGGGGCATCGAGGCACCCACGGGTTCTAGGGGTTGACCCCACCCATTCCCCCCTCCAGGCCGGTGCTATGCTTGGCCAAGGCTCTGGACATCACCCCGCCGCGCGGGGTTCACAGCACGGCTCATGGCCCGCGTCGGCGGCGTAAAGCGCAGCAAGACTTCCTCTGGGAGTCCACTCGAAAACATCGCGCTGCCCACCGGGCTAGGATGCAGCGACAGGCCAACTCTCTTTTCTGGCACCCTTCTCGAAGGAACAGGGCTCCACCTCGCCTCCTTCCCCCCCCTGTGGCCTAGGGCGGCGGCCCCCTACTCCCCCTGGTCGGTCTCCTCCAAAACTCAGGAAGCGAAGGCCTAGCTCGGGGGAATGTGGGCAAGCCCCTCACTAGCCTCAAGCCTGAGGCAAATACAGTTCAGGCCCTTGCTGCAAGGCTTGCGGATGAGCTCAGGGCGAACCAAGACTGGAGCAAGTCGGAACCCCAGCTGGCCCTGGCTGAGGCCCTGGAAGGAACTGACGAGGCCAGCTTGGGCTACCGGGTCTCCTACGAGATCCTCGAGGCCATGCAGGGCCACTCATGGTTGGACCCCATCACCGCCGCGGCTTTCCTGGACGACCTTGGGGCCCAGGAGCACCAGCGGTGCCAGGAGTCCGTTGTGTTTGTTAGTGCCAACATCACAGCGTGGACTCCGGATATCCTCAAATGGCACCAGCCGCAAAAAGGGCCCCTTCTCATCCAGGAGCTGCACTTGGGAGATGAAGGTGCCAAAAAACTGCCATTGAGGCTTTAGCCAGAGGGTACCATACTTTCCTTCCCCCGGTTGAGGGCCCCAGACCCACGAAAGGGGGACTGGCCACTCTTGTGCCCATCCATCAACAGGGCCGTTTCAGAGGAGGATACCTCTCTGACGAAGGGATCGGCTTCCTGCTGGTCGAACTCCCCAGGGTCCGCCATTCCCTCCTTTTGGTCAACCTGTACCTGAAATCAGGTGTTGGCATCACTGGGGCGCCCAACCCGGAAGTCCTCGCACGTTTGAAGCCTCTCCTGCGCCAAACCTCCAACTGGATTGTGGTTGGGGACTGGAATTTCCCCTCGCAGGAGCTGGCGGAGACCACCCTGCCAGAGGCTTTTCGTGGGCGGATTGTCGCCCCTCCGGAGGCGACGATCACCACAGGTAACTGTCTTGATTTCGCCCTGGTTTCCACCAGTGTCGCTTCTTTGTTGACCTGTGCTGCCAGCTGGCAAGTGCCTTTCCGGCCTCACGCTGCCCTGGAGTGCTGTTTCAACACCCCTGGGGGCGCCAAGTCGCCTTGAGGCAACTCCCTGCGTTCCCTGGGGTTCTCAAAGCAGACAGCACCAATCCCCAAACAGGGGCCGCCGGTCGGACTGACAGCCCCACTCCAGATCCGACCTTTCCTCCCCAAACCCCCGATGGCGGCCCTATGCTGGGTGCTTTTGGGTCGGAGGTGATCCAGGGCACTCTGGTCAACCGCCAATTCGCCGAACTCACCCACAGGTTTGCGGTTGAACACTTCACCAAACCTGGTGGGCGTGGGTGCACCCGGCCCTTCGTGTACAAACCCCTCATGCAACCGAAGG